CACCTGCAGTCAGTGTTCCCTGGAAAGAAGTCTGCTCAGAGTTCTGCTGTTCCGCTCCTTCCTCTCCTGTCCTTGAAGCTCACCACCACCTTCTGCTGGCTCTTCAAACTCTCCTCCCTACCGGAACTCCTGGACAGCCCTCCAGAACCCCAATCAGAGATTGCGCCAACTGCCTCACTTTTCAATGCATGCTGCTTGAGACACCTCCAACTGATTCCATTAACATGGCTGAAAGTCCTGAATGACTAAGAACACTCCCCTTCTTTCTCAGAGAAAGGCCACTGTAGTGAACTCTTTGGCTGACTTTTAAGGCTGATCCTACTGGGCACTAGTACTTCTTCTGAAGGTGTAGTCTCCCAGCCCCCTCCCCATCTTCTCTCCCCCAACACACACTTTTCTTGAAGATTGAATCCAAAAGCCCCTGCATGCCAAAACAGGTGCTGTACCAAGTGAGCTACAGCCCCAGTTCCAGCCCCTACTTTCCCATCAGCGTCTGCATATCCTTCAGTCTCCTACACAGATGGTCACCCCTTTCATTGGCAATTCCTTATCACCTGTCTTCAAGGATCATCTTCCTGGTGTTCCTTCCGACCGCTCCAAGTCACTTTAAAATGTTGAAGTCTGACCCTTCTGTCACAATTGAACTGAAAGGCCTGCAAATCCAGATGTCTGGCCCAATCAGTCCTCCTGAGCTTGAGCTATTTAGTTAACACCATCTCATCATGTCCAAAATGGCACCCAGGATCGCCCTGCCTATTTTCTGCACATTTGCCTCAGCTGTTCCTTGAGAAGTCTCCATGCCCTGTCTCAGTTACCAGACTCAGCATTACCTCTAGGCTGTCTCAACTCCACTCACTTCTTGGGAATTACTCCTTTGTCCCTTAGACTAGGCCATCATCTCAAATCTGGCCAGCAGATATTTTCTGTGTTTCTACCAATCTCTCTGAAAAGAGCCCTTTCAATCATTTATATCCTTATTGTCCAGTTCTTTTATGGCCCTACCCAGGGACCCTCCTACCCACAGCTCCTTTTGCTCAGTCCTGCTGCAGTCCTTCAAACAGCACACACAAACGCTTCCACGTTTCCTTTACCACCGCCATGAAGTCAGTGGTCCCCCTTCCCTGGCTGTCTGGCTGACAGTCCTAAATGCCTAACCTTTCCCAAGAGCCTTCCCACGCCTGATCCAATGAGGTGCTCAACCAGGATTCTTGAGCTACTAATACTTCTCATGGCATGCTTAATGGTGGGAGACAGGGGTTGGAAATTGAGCTTGGGCCAATGTGAGTCAAGTATTCTACCACCAAGTGACACCAAGTCTTATTCCCAGGAAGATCCTTTGCCTTGTTCACTAGAACCTGTCATGGATGGTAATTAAATACTGAGTGGTGGCCCATGCCTATGTTATCCCAGGACTTGACTGAGGCAAGAGGAGGCTGCTGCAAGTTTAAAGATTCAAGGCCAGCACAGGCCCTTTATCAGAGTAGAAAGAGAATCAATGGAGGCTTTCACATAACAACTTCAAATTTTGAGTTGGCAATTCTCAAATGATGAAGCTACATGAGAGGCAAAACAAAGGGCCCAGAGGTTGGGAGAAGTCCGGACGGGAACTGGCAGTGCCAGAGGCAGTCCACAGACATGTCAGGCATTCTTTTCATAATTCTGGGACAAAGACACTAATGACTGCCTCTAAAAGGTGGTAATCAGTTAAGTCAGGCAAGCTAGCGTCCTCCTCCAGAGTTTGGGCTAAAGATATCAAAGGACTTAACCAGAACATCTGAGTCCTCAGGACTGGTCCCTCTTCCGCACGTGAGCAATCCTGTTCCTTAAGGTCAATGTCACCACCAGCAGGGCCAAGGGCAGGCAGTCTTTAGTGGAGGCCCGTGCCCTCTAAAAGTGCCGGAGAAGAGGGCTGGATGCCAAGGGGAGCGAAACACAAGAGCCCCGAGGGCCTCTAGTCCGTGCAGCACGAGAGCTGCCAGAGAAAGAACACTTGTCCTTTCCTAAAGTGAAAGCAGCTCTACCCTGAGTGGAGTCAGCGGCCTGTAATCGCATACCCACAGGAGAATGGAGGCTGCCGCACCCCCACTTACAGAAGGTCTCCTGGCCCACGCGCACTTTAATCATGATCCACTCCATTGCTCCTCCCAGGACAAAAAAGAAGGGCAGGAACCTGTAGATGCCGAATCGCTGCTTCCCGGGCACCCGCTGCAGAGCTCGCCTCACCTGGGCCCTGAAGAACATGACCGAGGCCTCAGAAGTGAGGTACGGGCGGAACCAGACGTACAGGCCAGCTCGTCGGGCCGTGTCCCACGGACTGAGAGCCAAGACTCCGGCGCGGCGCCACCGCCAGGCCGCGAGAGTCGGGTCGCAGTGGCTGACAGGCCCAGAGCACGGTCGGCTCCGCCAATCAGAGCGCGGCGGGCCGCTCAGACTCTCCAATCAAAGTGCCGTTGGGGCACGCGTGCTCGGTGAGGCTGGGCCGGCCTGAAGGAGCCTGCGCAGGCGCCTAAACTCTGTAGGCGGAGCAACTTCGGAGGGCGGGGTCTCCAACGTGGCGTGGCCACCCTCAACCTGCTCTCAGCCTGCTGGGGCTCGGAGCTGATTGCCGCGCCCCCTACTCTGCCATCGCCATCTTTTTTTGGAATACTCTGACCGAGGTGACGACCCTCTGTGAAGAAGATAAACTAAAATGCAGTTACGTTACGCCTTCCTTTTATTTCTGGGATGTGACTGGTTGAACTTGGCTTCTAAAATAACAAAATTCGATATGCATTTTTGAAAACTGAACTTTATCAGTATCACAACAAAAAGTATAATTATCCATGACAAACTATTCTAAAAATAATATGAATCTATGATGAATGGAAAACTACCGTTATCCAGGTACTTGTAGGTGCTTTTTTTATGCATCATAACCTGATAGTTGCAGAAAAGCATCATGGTAAAAAGCGTGACTTTGTTGTCAAGCCATACCCTATGGGGACCCTTGTAAAACAGAGCCTTTCTGTGATGCTGCGAGGATGGACAATCTAAGAGAATTAAATGACAAGACTGGGATCCAGGAAAGGGTCATAAACAGACTGAGAGGAGCTTTATGGTCCTGTACACCAAGCAGCCCTGGAGGGCAGGCCAGAGAGAAGTCACACGCACAGCGAACCCGTGGCGCTTGCCCCCATTTCTCTAGGTTCTAAGGACTGGAACATGTAGAGCGTCCATCCACTTTCAAGAGATTCACATGTGGCCAGGTCTCCACAGCCCACCTTGGTCACTGGGGCCTACAAGGGCTCAGTCACCCACGAGCCCACCTTTTGACATCCATAACTACCAGTACCCAGCCCAGGATTGCCACACCAGATCCTCAGCCTAGGTAGAGCGGAGCTACATAAAAACGCACACGTTACACACCTTAAACCAGCAGTCCCCGTGTGCTCAGTTGGGCAGTTCACCACCAAGGCCCTGGATACCGGACCAGCCTCTCCTGGGGTACACCTGCAGCCTAAGAGAACAGATGGAGCGCTTTCAAGCGGAAAAGAATTTCACTGAGACAGCGCTTGAACAGTCCACGGTATTTCAACTGTGGGCCTGCACTGTCCGGCACATCCATTTACAGCCGCCAGAATCAGGTGGCTGCAATGATCCTGGTCCACAGCCTCTCAGAGTACGCCTAAGAGATAGGCTCCTAGCTGAATCGTCACCGTGCTGGGTACAAGGCGATACAAAGAAAAAGCTACCTTAGCAGACGTCAGCTGCCCTGCAGGATAAGTGGTCTCACCCAGTTTGGGATGATTACTGCAGGCAGAAAGGGCTCTCGGTGCCTTAGGCGAATAAAGCCGCCCTAGCTTCAGTCGGGCGTGCACGCCGACGTGCAGTCGGTCAGAAACTGGGTAGGGGCACAGGGCCATGGAGCAGGAGCTCTGGAGAGGGGACGGAAGCGCCAGGGTCAGGGGGAACTCGAAGCTGAGAAGAGGGACAGAAAGACCGTGGGATGAAGGAGGAGCTGTGCACTCGTGCACTCCGGCCGCTCCTGCTCCTCGGACCGTCCAGGGCCTCTCGGAGACTCTGGCTCTTAAGCCCAGCGACTTCCCGCGCAAGGGAGGAAGGTGCGGCCATCACCGAGATGATCAAAGGGGGGCGCAGAGCCCCTGAGCCGAGCGGGGGACAAGGAGAAGGGGGTCGGGAACCCGCCCCGCCCCGACCGGGACCTCCCGCCCCCCAGGCCGAGTGGTGCGCCCATTGGCCGAATAGACTCCAGCACCTCGCCCATTGGTCGGCCGCCTTGAGAAGCACGCGGCCACGGTGGCGGGCGGGCAGTCGGAGGGCGGCGGACCGGCGGGGGC